CTAATTCCACTGAAATGGATATGAATTCTTTATGAATTGAACTAATTCTGTTGGAGTTCTGTTAATGAAAAATTGCTAACCTGAGGCATTGCTTTCCCATGCTTTCAGAAGGAATAATTTTTTAATTCCTCACTTTAGATCTGATTCAGTTTTATCAATATAAAAATCTTTAGCTTTAGTGAAATAAATGTTCTTAACTTTTTTTTTTTTTTGGAACATCTATATTTCCAGATGTTCCTCCTACTTGAACGAAATGAGAGCACATTGTAACACCCCATCTTTTTTTAAAAAACAGCTTCCAGGCACCACACTCACTTTAGCAGAGCTTGATATCTATTCTTAAGGTGAAAAGCAATCTGGTGCTCAGAAGTCAAGATATTTGATTCAATTCTGGCTACCTCTTTACAGGCCTGTACATCAACCAAAAGACAGAGTAGAGTGATGAGGGGCTGGTGCTTTTTACTTTACACCAAATAAGCTTGGTAAGAGCCTTGAACTGTCGTGGGTTCACCACTGACAAGTGATCTTTGGCAAACTGCTGCTATTTTTTCCCCATCTATTTTGTGGTGGTAATTTAGTTGCATGTGTTTACCAAATGCTGAGTAAGTATTAACACTACAGTTCCCTTGAAAAGAAATCTGTTTTCCATTGGAAAGGGGTATTTAAGTGGGGGGAAGAAAGCTGACAAATTTGGATCTGGAATTTTTCAGGGGAGAGCTTTCAGCATCCTGGAACGTTTCACTTGATGCTTTCCAGCACAGCTTTGCCATTGGAAAGTCAGATTCTTACAGGAAAGCTCCTCTGGAATAAAGTGCAAGCTTCCTATCCAGCTGCAGTTATGGGACTTCCAGATGCTATGCAAACTGAATGCTCTCAATAGGAAAAAAATGTCTAGCAGCTGCTCTCTGGGTCCTCAACCTGTACATGTAAACCACTCGAGAGAGACTTTGCTTGCACCCCTCAATGGTGGCACATACAATTCTGAAGCATGGCGGGGGGTGGGTGGGGTGGTGTGTGCAATGAAGGGCATTCACACTGTCTATTGAAGATTATTTGTAATTCCACTATGAGAAAATTAGGATGGATTTTGTGTACCTGTAGCATAACTGTAGTAGATTAATTCTGGCTACTAGTGCTTACTGAGGTCACCGATTAACATTGCTTTGCAGGCACCTCTTCTGCAAAAGCTCTTGTTTTAATCAGAAAGTCACCAAGACCCTAGGGCTTTGGGTTTTTTAGAAACCTAGATTAGCTAAAGCCACAAGTGCTTACAGGATGATATCTCTCATCTTAGAAACACAGCTTCTCGTTCATTCCCACAGCTAATCTCTGTGGATTCTCAACTCCCAAACCAGTGCTGAGTCCGGGGAATACCATACTGGTACATTTTGAAAGCGATGGGGAGAACAGCTTCAGAGGGTTCAGAGCTCAGCTCACTTTTGTTCGTTCAGGTTAACAGAGAGATGCTTGCTGTGTCTAACAACATCTGCGTCATCTGCAGCTATTCTTAGACACCTGAGCTTATTTTTTAGGCTAATCCTGCTGCATCCTGTCAAGGTAACTTTAAAACAGAATAGCTACTTGTGACAGAGCTCCTTTCCCTGAATAAGGGAGATGAATCAAATTGGGTTGGGGTTTTTTTGGGTTTGTTTTGTTTTGTTTTTTTTTACCTCAGTGAGAAATGAGATAACTAACTTCTGTTACCTGAAAGAAGCAGCCTTGTTAATTCTGTCAGTCTGATATTCCCCTTGAAGATCTCATTACAGAGGACAGTCTTGATCCTGGGGGCTACTCTGCTATTGTTGCTTTCCACTTTCATGAATGTGTACCAGCTGCTGCTCAAGGGGATGGATAACTTTTCCCTTCCAGAGTGGGGACTTTTTTTGAGGTCACAAACCAGAGCTATTGACCCAAGTTGGAGCTAACTTATTTCCTCTCTTGTAGAGGATGCAGGAAGAGAAGATTCAGGATTAACTACTGCACCGATGTTGCGTCCCAAGGATGTCCCCTTAGGTAAAGAAATTAAATTCTGTTCAGTTGATCTGGTCTGAGGAGCTTTCCTTTTACATATAAGAGGATTATGCAGCGAGGCAGATGCTTTCTGACCTCAGGTCCCCTTTTGTGCACTTCTTGCATGGATGAAAAGTCATAGGCAGGTGCCCCATCTCTCATTCTCTATACGTGTGTGGTCCATCATCTCCACTCTGGTTGCCTGCGTTTCCTATTGGGAGTGGGGGGATTGGGTAGAGGATGAGAGAGACCTGCTTTTAGTGCCGGAGCCTCATTTGCTCTCTGAAGTGCTGTCTTGAAGGCACCTGTGGCCTTCCCCCAGTTACTCCCTGGTGGCTGTTCAAGTGTATTACTCGGGCTGAGGAGGCTTGTCCTCACTGTTGGCCATGGCACACTGCCCTGAAGCTCCTTGGAGACTACCGCTATGATGGGGCTGTTGTCAGCCTTGCGTAGCTGCTGATGGCCGCCCGCTGTGAGTGTCACCAGAACGTCCCCGGGCCACCTCTGCTCCTCTCCCCATGCTCTGCACTCTCCCTGCTCCTCCAGGCTGGGGTGCAAAGAGTTGGAGAGCTATAAATTGTATTCACTCCTTCATGTCCTCCATGAAACCTTTCTTCTGCCCTTCCTCCACCATCACTGATTTTAGAGATGGCAACAGTTTGGTCCTGCTTGTAGGAGATCCATTAAAGTTAATTGGACTACCTGCTATCAGACCTGTAGCAAAGCCAGAACTGATGCAACACATTTCTTGTGGTGAGAAGCTCTTGCTCAGCAGTCCTGGGAGTAAGTGACTAATTAGAGAAGAGCCAGAAGGGCTGTATGACTGCTGAATAAGGAAGCTGTATGGCTAACTGTAAGTAGCTCCAATATGTTTGCTTTCATTATACAGATCTAATAAACCCTCGCACTGGACTGTGACAGTAGGAGACCATGACAGAGCCCTGAGGGAGTCAACAGAACAGGTGAAAACCAAGCAATGCCATTAAAAATGTTGACTTTGGTGTATTTGCCCCTACGACGTTTCTAAAAACAGATCTATATGCACAGGTAAAATAGCATTGACAGCAAGGCAAAATGACTGATAGGTAGCACAGGTTGAGGAATGAGAAAGGAAATCCAGTAACTCTGGTCTCATTCAGCTAACTTGCAGTTTATAGAAGTATGTTTTATATCTGGCTCTTATTACTTGCAGTAAAAAGTCTTAAAATCTAACAGAGATGACTGAGTGTCCTCAGCATCTTACTCTCTCAGTGCTGGGCAATATACCTGTCTATAAAATCTTGCTGACTTTTTCTTCCTAATGGGGAGGAGGAAGAAATACTTGTGGAAAAGAAGCACAAGTGACTCGCAGGAGTCTTCTGCAAAACCTTAGTGGCTTGTGTTTGTACAGTGAAGCAGTCAGCCTTCACTCTAGGCTCAGGAGGTCTACGTAACCTGTCCCAGCAATCTTCTCAACTGAAAAATATAGAATCATAGAATCTTTTAGGTTGGAAAAGACCTTTAAGATCATCAAGTCCGACTGTTAAACAGAGAAGTGGGAGATTTGTCTTCAAAGTCCTTTTACCTTGTTTGTTTCTTTTCATGACTTACTTTGAGCTTGGTCATTGCTTGTGGGATTTTTGCCCTCTTCCTTTACAAGTATGCTTTCAGGATGCACTTAGAGGGCAGATCGTTCCTTCTCTGCCCTGGCCGCAGGTGAGAGAGGTGAAAACCATCACAGTGCATCCCCACTTCGACATGCTGAGCTGTGACTCCGACATTGCCCTGGTGCACCTAGACGTCCCCCTGGAGTACCACGCTGCTGAGGCCAGCGCGCCTGCCCAGCAGCACAGAGATGTTATCTTCATCTTCCCTCTGCACTCTGTCTGGATGGAGGGTCATCGAAGAAGGTGGCTCTCCTGATTTTGCATGTTTGCCTATTACGAGCAGAACATACATTTCAATCTCATGTTAAATTCTTCTGCCCAGACCTAACCTCGAATTTATTTCCCAAGCAGATGGGAACTGAGCGAAGCAGTTGCAGCAGACATGAGTGCCTGTACTTGAGAATGAAATTTGTGAGAGGAGTTACTGCTTCAGCCACCCTGGAGGGATGACAGCCAGGATGCTTTGTGCTGGCTTTGTTTCTGCGGGAGGCCGGGACTCCCGTCAGGTGAGGTGAAACTAAAGGTGAGCGCTCTTGAAGGCATCAGCATATGGATGTTGGTGGACCGACTGGGGGGGACAGAGAGGAGAACAGCATATAGCAAGTGGCAGTCAAAAGCTCCAACAACTTGCAGTCCCTGGAGCGGATAGCACTTGGGAGCAACAGGCACAGTTAATCTGCACAGGAGATGTTATGCAGTGCGCAGCGTTGCTTGGAAGTGAGACCACAGAGTCTAGTAATCTTTCTCTGGACTGTAATTTTCGTGACATCTGTGGAGGAGAGGATGTTCTTGCCTTGTGCTTCTCGAGTCCCACCTCTTATCCCAGTGAAACACTTCCCATTGTAGCTTGCTTAGAAACCCTTTCAGAGCACTCTTCTTGTCAAGATAAACTGTGAAGGCTTCTACTGGTTTTATAAAACTCTTGTATTCAGAGCACTGTTCAAGAACTAACTAATCTCCTTGAAATCATGAGGCAAGCAGGTAAGAACAGCTGAGTAAATAAAAGGCAAAGTAATTCTGACTGAGTCACTGTCAAGCTAAAATGTGGCTTCTGCTCAATACCGCAATCTTATGGCTGACTAATAAATCATGTGTAACGTTAAGGAGCACTATTCAATCATATTTTGTCTGCAGCCTGTGCTCAGTCTTCACTTCATGCTGATAAGCAAGCCTTCGAATCAGCCTCTTCATTCCAGGCTAGGGCTGAGTTGCACCAGCACCTGCCTGCCCCGTTCTTGCACGGAGGCTTTTTGTTGGGCAAATCTGATCCGTGAGAGCTCTACTCTTAGCTGCAGCAGCGCGGAGGCCAAATGAGATAACAGCAAGTCCTCTCTCTTTTGGTTCCTAGGGTGGTTCTGGTGGCCCCATGTTTTGCAACAAGGAAAAGGAACCATTTACTCTTTATGGCACTGCCATCTGGGGTGTTGGCTGTCCCAGCCCAAAGAAGTCAGGGGTCTCATCCAGTCCAGGAGAATCCTGACCCTTGAAAAAGACTGCCGATGACAGGTGAATTTTCTTTGTCTAAGTGAGATGAGCCCTGAATATCCCCCTTTGCATAAAATATCCAAAGTGCATTGAGGTTTTTGTCTGGTAGATTTTTTGAGGCAACTTAAGAGGAAGAAAAAAAATTCCAGGTGATTTCCTGCAGGAAGTCCCTGCTTCCTCCTCTTCCTCACGCCTTCCCACTAAACAAAGCTTACTGGAAATTAGGAGTTTCAGAAGTGTAAGACTTGTATTTAACACTTTGGGCTCTCAAACTGAATATAGTCTTTGGACAGCTGCTTTTCTCAGTAAAAAGCTGCTGCTTGCAAAAATGCCTACCAGCCCCACACTTTGATGGGCAGAATAGTTTGGGACAATGCTGCAAACTGAACTTTCATGTGTGTCTGTCTGTCTGCCTCTAGATATAATTAGCACCACAATCAGAAGTCTGTAGGATAAACTTCACCAGAGAAGGTGCTGGAAAAAGAGTAGCATTTGCTAGTGAATAAGGACTGATTGCATAAAGTGATGGTATCTTACGAAAGGAAGAGGCCCCTGTTCTTAAACTGGGGGATCTCTCATGCAGAGAAACGAGGGGAGCAAACCTGTTTGAGGTGTTCCATGTGAACCCAGGATTGCCGTGCTGCTTCCCTGCACCAGCTCTCCTCTTCCTCCCCAGAAGGTTCTTTGCTGCTGAGGCTCCTCAGGTCAAGGTGAATTTGGCTTTACAGTTCCGTTGGCAAACGGAAAAATCCACCACTTCGGCTTGTTTAATCTGACGAGATTTGAGAGATTTCAAAGAGCCACCAGATAGCTTCAAGTCTTTTTGCCATGTAAACTGATTTGTCATTCTGGAGAAATGTTTCCCTTTGGCTCAAAGTAGTTGCACTGGGAAACTGCTGATGCAAACCCTTTGTCTTCCAGAGCTTTATCCCTCCTTCCCTGCATGTGCGCACGTACAGCCAAGGATGTAATTCTCCATTTAGTGAATAGCTGTGATTGTCCCACAACATTTCTTAAGAAAGAGGAAAGATCTAATCCTGGACAGAGTTTTTCATGTTTCTGCCCATCCTATATTTTATTCTGTTGCTGCCAGAAGAAAAAGGAGGATTTCTGCTAACAGGAATAATTCTTTTTTTCCCCCTGTATCCTGTGCTGCAGTTATGAGCAGGAAATTAAAGTATCTATTAAAGAAAAGAGCACATTGTGGATAACGCTGCACTCTCAGGTTGGATGAGCACTTGGGCTCTCCCGCTCTGTGCTGCAGCTGCCGGTCTCTCTCCCTCGTGGCACCATTCACAGTCCCACACTGACCTACCAGAAATGTTAGGATAGGTGCTGACTAAGGGAGAACTTTATTCTAAACTAAAACCAGTTAACAAAGCAAGTTTTCGCTTGTATGATCGCCAGCCCATCCCCACAGATAAGCTGGGAACTGGCTGGAGATCTTCCGTACCCTTGGATCTGACACAACTGGCTCTGACCACTGACTCTCTGAGGGCTCAAAGGCTTTCATGGATTTACTGTAGGTCAGGCAGTTTATGCAGGGAATTGCTCAGCTCCGGAGCTGTAAATCTTTCCCAGAGGTGGAGGCTGTAGCACGGCATACAGCTTTTACATATGGCTTCATACAAAAGGTTCAAAGCCCTGAGGGCTCTTTGAGCCAGATACTGACCACTGCCTCCTTTATCTGACCCTCATATGATTGCCTCCCTGTTGCGAAAAGTGCTCGGCTGTGCTGACTGTTCCTGAGTTTTGCATTAAACTGCCTCTCAGCATGTTCTGCCTCTCCTTAGATGCTGAACAGACTGTGCTGCAGTGCACCGGAGACCTTGGCATAGGAGCAGCCAGCAAAGCTGCCCACAAAACTAACGGGAGAGGCAGTGCCGGCGGGGCGACCGCGGAACTGCGTGGAGCTGTCGCGCGCCGGTGTCCACGGTGCTCGGTTTGCAGAAGGTGCTGGAACTGGTTCGGTTCAGGAGCAGCTCTGGGTAGAGCCTCGTTGTGCAAGTGGGCACATCTCTCTGGGTTTCGTCCTGGGAAGAG